ATTAAGTAGTATGTATATATAGCATCCCCATAACTTATTCATTTTAAAATGGAAGTTTATACCTTTACCTCCTTCACCTACTATGATTAACTGCCCCTCCATCTCCACCCAGACTATGGCAACCACAAATGTTCTCTATATTTGAGTTGATTTTTTTGTTTTTGTTTTGTTTCTTTAGTTCCACATATAAGTGAGATCATTTATCTTTGTCTAACTTATTTTATCTAGTGTAATGCCCTCAAGGTACATCTATGTTCTTGTAAATGGCAATGTTTCCTTTCATGGCTGAAGAGTATTCCACTGTATATACATGCATCACATTTTCTTTATCCATTCATCCATCAGTGAACACTTAGGCTGTTTCTGTAAATAACGCTGTAATGAACATACGGGTATAGACAGCTTTTTGAAGTAGTGTTTTCATCTTTGTCATGTAACTTACCCAGAAGAGGAATTATATGCTCATATGGTAATTCTGTTTTAAAATTAAAAAAAAAAAAAATCAAAATTTATTTATGCACACAAGAACCGGAGTACAGGCTAGAGGCGTAGGGGGTGAGAGGATTCACCAGAGACAGAGTGGGGAACAGACCAAATAGACATAGCAAAACACATTGCTGAGGGGAGCAGCGGGAGAGCTAAGAGAGGTCTGCTGCGCCACGCGGGTCAGTCACCTCCCTACCTGGGGATGGAAATCAAGCTGCAGTGACTGTGGAGAACCATGTACTGCGTCCCAACCCCCTGTGCCACCAGGAAGCCCCTTTAAAATTTTTGAATACTCCATATTAGCAGTTTTCAATAGTGGCTGCACCAATTTACATTCCCAACAGTGCACAAAGGTTCCTTTTTTCCATATCCTCACTATCACCTGTTAATTCTTGCCTTTTTGATATTAGTCACTCTAACAGGTATGAAGTGCTCTCTCATTGTGTTAAGATTTACAGTTCCCTGATGATTAGTGATACTGAGCATTTTTTCATGTACCTGTTAGTCATCTTTACGTCTTTGAAAAAAATGTCTATTCAGATCCTCTGTTCATTTTTTAATCAGATTTTTTTGCTAGGCTGTATGAGTTCTTTATATATTTGGATAGTAATTCATTATCAGATAAATGATTTGCAAATAATTTTACCAGTTGGAAGGTTGCCTTTTCATTTCGTTGTTGATTTCCTTTGCTGTATATAGGTTTTTCAGTTAGTCATAGTCGCACTTGTTTATGTTCTTTGTTGCCTTTTCTTTTGGAGTCAGATCAAACATCACTACTAAGATCAATGTCAAGAAGCTTAACACCTACTTTTCTTCCATGAGTTTATTGTTTCAGGTCTTATGTTCAATTTAATCCATTTTGAGTTCGTTTTTTTGAATACTAATTACCTCTTTAAAGATTCTATCTCTAAATTCAATCAGAATAAGGTTAAGCCTCAACATATGTATTTCAGAGGGACACAATTCAGTCTAGGTATCTAAATTATTTAAAGCAATGCTTAATATTTCAGATGAAAATAGCAAAAAATTACTACATAATGTGAAAGAATATAGAGGCAAAATTAGTACTTAAGTATACTGTAAGCATATAAGCCTTAAAAGGCAGAGATATCTGGTGAAAAGCACTTACTCAGAAATGAGTAACTAATATGGCACCAGATTATCAGCAGACTGCTCTGTTGACTGGCTGTATCATGTCATGACTGGAGTCATACTTGCTGCCTAAGTGTGGCATGATGTCAACACATAAATTTCTAATTAATGTGCTTGAAGTTTCAACATGTATTTAATAAATGAAAAGGGTCTTTTTTGATGAATAAGGTTATTTAATTAATAGAATTTGACTAACATTTCAAAATCAAAGACTGTTAACATTAATTTAGGACTATTTGGGACTCCCTGGTGGCACAAGGGGTTAAGTCTCAGCACTATGAAGCTGTTAGCAGCCACTGCAGCATGAGTTTGATCCCCAGCCAGGGAGCTGACACACACGGTGTAGCAGAACTCTCCTGCCTTGCCCTCTGTTCCCCTCTGCAGTGTATTTCAGTAGATCTGCCTGTTCTGTTCCCTGCTCTGTCTCTGGTGAATCCTCTCACGCTTCCCCCTATCCCCTCCACCCTACGCACCTCTGGCCTGCACTCCAGCTCTTGTACGCATATATGAAATAAAAATCTTTTTTAAAAATTTAGGACTATTTGGGGAAAGTTATCTTTAAAAAATGTATGGGTACTCATTTGATATATTTACCACTTGTAATAAAGGGATTATTCTGCTAGAACTTAGAATTTGGAAGGCACATGTTTTCAATTTCAGTGCTCTTCTAGAAAGAGGCAGGATCAAAGAGAAGAGCCCATCTTTGAAGCAACACATACTGGGATCCGAGTTTGGATCCATCTACCCCTCACTATTTCTCAATGTCCTCCATTGATCTTTGGTCTCTTCAATGGTAAGAGAGAATAACAATACTAGACCCATATAAAGGACTAATAATAGGAGGGGATTTAAAACATGGGGCTGGGATCATAGGAGACAACAACTGCTAACTCCTTCATGCTGCTTTATGTTCCAGATTATTATTCAGTCAGACACTGAATTGTTGGAGAAGTTCCTTCTTTGACTAGCACATGTACTCAACTAGTTTTTGCCAAAGTCTTCAATCACACCAGGAGCCCCATTCCCTGCCTCTTTCCAAGCTTATTTTTATCTGTATATCCTAACATCAGAGCAGCTGGGTTCAGTTTGTCCCACTTAGAGATTTTAAGACACTATTCCACCTAGAATCCATCCATCCTGATAGTAGTCAAGTAGTAAAAGTATTTTTCAACTTCTAGTATAATTTCTGCATCCCTCCAAGAAGTATTTCTTGATTTTATTTCTGCCTACAATAATCTTTCTGACTCCGGGTACCTTCCTTTGTTCCCTCCTTCCATCCATTCATATTACTGACACTATTCTAAGTGTTAAGTATACATCAATAAACAGACAAAATCCCCACTGCAACTGGAGTTATATTCTAGATTATGGAACTAGACAACAAATAGGATAAATAAGTTGAAAGAAAAAGAGACAGAGCAGGCCTCCCCGGTGGTGCAGCGGGTTGAGCGACACGCTGTGAAGCTGTCTGCAGCCTCTGCAGCGCAGGTTCGATTCCCAGCTGGCCAGGGAGAAACCCACATGGCGCGGCAGACCTTTCTTGCCTCGCCCGCTGCTCCCCTCAGCAGTGTCTTCCGTCCGTCTGCCTGTTCTGCTCCCGGCTCTGTCTCTGGTGAATTCTCTCACCCTCCCGCACCTCTGACTGTACCCCAATTCTTGTATAAATAAATAAATCTAAAAAAAAAAAAAGTTGATGTTAAAAAGAAAAAGAGACAGAGCAAGAACTAGCAGTATGTGTGAATGATGGATATATATGCTGGGGAAGGAGGATGATTTTTCATCTTAATTTTTAAGAGAAAGGCAACAATATATTTCTTTGCTGAGCATAATAATCCAGTTAAAGCATAATGATTACACAGGCTAAAGAGAAGGTAACACTGGAAAGATGAACTGAGGAACAGAAAAGGAATTCTGAGTCTTACAGATATTAGGTCATATGACAGTTTAAAATCAGGTGGATCAAGTGGATATAAAAGAATGATGTGACACAATTTTGAAACATATTAACATCCTAATTGCAGCCAAATAAACTCTAGATGCATCAAATTGTCAAACATTTGAATTATAAGAAAAACTTTCAGAAAATACATCTATCAGCTTTAGGACAAAAATGGGGAAATGTCTCAGCTTAGGAACAATCAAAAAAAAAAAAAAAAGAGAGAGAAAGAGAGACTCAATAAAAATTGACTGAGTGCCTGTATGTGGTAGGTAGTGTTCAAGATACCAGTAACATGTTAAGATGTTTAGGTCAATTAAAACAAAACAGCAAGGTTAAAATAAGTAACACAATCAACTGGAAAATTTTGTACTAGAAATTATGAAAGGTTAAAAATCATGACAGAAATTTATTCAAACTTATGAGGAAAATCTAGACCATAACAGATATAAGAATGCTACCAAACTAGTAATACTGAAAATAACTGATAGTAGAAAATATTTGGTAGAAAAATACTACCAAACTATCATACAAGAGGGTCTCCCCTGGTGGTGCAGGTGGCTGAGCGCAGCACTGTGAAGCTGTCCACAGCCTCTGCAGCGCTGGTTCGATCCCGGACAGCTGGCGAGGGTCCCACATGGCGCAGCACACCTCTCCTGCCTCGCCCGCTGCTCCCCTCAACAGTGTTATTTCGGCATTCTGCCTGTTCTGTTCCCCGCTCTGTCCCTGGTGAATCCAGTCACCCTCCTGCGCATCTGGCCTGTACCCTGGTTCTTGTATAAAATAAATAAATAAATCTTAAACATAAACAAAAAAACAAACTATCATACAAGAAAATAAAAATAGATTTCCCATATTTGGAAACATTCATTTTTGTTAAAAATCTAAAAATCCCAAATAAAACTATCTAAGGTACTATTTTATTTCTAAATTACAGACCTTCTTAAAACTACATCACTGAGATGGGGTGGAAAAAAGTTTTATGAAGGGTGTCTTTCTCTCTACAGTCTAGTCTACAGACTGTGTGTAAAAAGATATGCACAGAAAAAACCAAGGCAATGTTCACTCCCTGACAAGAGAATGCTAATCCCTTCCTTACAACTGGGGAAATAATTAAAGTGGCTCAAAAATGTATGCAAAAAGTTAATGGCAGTATAATCTAGAATACTAGAAACAGAATATGAAAAGTAGTTTTTAGAAGTCATAATTATGAACATGGAAAAATGTTAATGACAAGAGACAAACTACAGCAACATAAAAATTAGTATATATAGTCTTAGAACATGAAAAAGAATTGAAGAAAACAATTAATTTTATAATGTGTTACAATGTTGTAACTTACCTTTTAGTTTAAAAGATCAGCTTATTTTTATTTAAGATAATCTTAAAACAGCATTTTAGCAATATATTATGAAAGACTACATACCTGACACTCGCCGATCAAATCTGTTAGGAATTGGCACTGTGAAAAAAAAAAAAAAAAAAAAAAGCAGCAATATTTAGCCAAGATTATGTCATAAAACCCTATTTTTACACCATACCTTTTTAGAAAGATTTCTTTGACAACAGAACTAAGGAATTCAATAACAACTAATGGATCAGTTCATACTCCTCCATAACCAACTAGATAGTTCAACATGATTATATGAAGAAAGCATTCAGGAATAATATATCTCTCTTTGAAACCAGCTCTCTGTAACTTCAAAAAACTCAGCAATTTTATTTCTGCTCATATCCATGTTCATTCTAATTTATATAATGCCGAATGAATAAGAAGTCTATCAAGTTTATTGGTAATGGTATGCTATCAAACACATTTCGTTAGTCAATAATCTATAGAATAGCATTTATATTTCATTTTAAAGCATTAAATTAATTACATGGAATTAAAAAATAGTTAATCACTATGTTCTACTCTACCTCAATTTGGGTGAGCATTCCCCTGCCACTGGTCAGTGTACTAATCATTAAAATGTACCACATATCTGGCCTCCCTGGTGGCGCGGTTGAGCGCTGGGTTGCGAAGCTGCCCACAGCCTCTGTAGCGCCGGTTCGATCCCTGGCTGCGCCCAGGCCACCGGAGGAGGGTCCCACATGGCGCGCAGACCTCTCCTGCCGCCCGCTGCTCCCCTCAGCGGTGTACTTCAGTCCTTCTGCCTGCTCTGCTCCCCGCTCTGGCTCTGGTGAATTCTCTCACCCTCCTGCGCTTCTGACTGTACCCAGTGCTTGTATAAATAAATAAATCTTTTTTTAAAAAAAAGTACCACATATCTCTCAGTTACAAAAATACCAAGTTTCTCTCTATTAATTTTTTTCTACTTTTCACCTATCATTCTTTATGTTTGATGGATATCTAAATTCACTATCACTTGTGAGACAGCATTCTCATTATCATTCAAATTATCATTTGGATAAGTTTTTTTTGACCTAATTTGATTACTTTTATTTTAAAAAAATATGCTTTCTTACCCTCCAAAAAAAGAAAAGTTAAAATGAAAAACAAGTTGAAGATGGCTCAGAGAGTCAAACTCAACTAATGTGAGGTATTTGAAATAAAAATAGATCCAGGAAGAGGCAAACAGTCATTCACAGTAATAGGAATAGAATTATCTTTCTGGGCTTATGACACCAAAAGTATAGGCAAAAATAAAAAGTAGATAAACTGAACAAAATCAAAATGTAAAACTTATATGCATCAAAAGATACAATTAATGGAGTAAAAGGCAACCAACAGAACTCCTACAACTCAACAGCAAAAATCAAAACCTGATTTTAAAATAGACAAAAGCCATGTCTTCTAAAGAAGACACATGAATGGGGCCTCCCTGGTGACACAAGGGGTTAAGACGCAACCTATGAAGCGATCCGCAGCCGCTGCAGCACGAGTTTGATCCCCAGCCAGGGAGAAACCACATGGCACAGCAGACCTCTCCTGTCTCGCCCGCTGCTCCCCTTAGCAGTGTATTTCAGTTAGTCTGCCTGTTCTGCTCCCCACTCTGTCTCTGTTGAATCCTCTCATCCCCCAACACCTCTGGCCTGTACCCCAGTTCTTGTATACATAAATAAATAAATCTTTTAAAAAAAAGAAGATACATGAATGATAATGGTCAATAAGAAAGATATACGATATCACATAATGAAAATAAAAAACAATGAAATTTTACCTCAAACCCATTATAAATTTAAAAAACAAAATAACAAGTACTGGAAGAATGTGGAGAAATTGGAACCCTAGTGCACTATTGGTAGGAATGTGAAATAGTGCAGTCAGTGTGGAAAACACAAGGATAGGTCCTCAAAAACAAAAAGAAGATTTACCATATGAGCTAGTGATTCTATTTCTGGAGATTTGTATCTCCAAAAGAATTGAGGGTCAGGTGACAAAGAAATATTTGTATACCCACATTCATAGAAATAATCAAAAGGTAGACACACTCAAGTGTCCATTAGTAGATAAATAATAATCTGTAGTATACAAATACAGTACATATTCAGCCTTAAAAGGGAAAGAAACGCTGATACTTGCTACTATGTGGGTGAATCTTGAAAAACATGGAAAGCGAAATTGTTGTAGAGCAGCCCCGATACAAAATGGGGTGTCTGACTGTGGGTCCTTACCCGCGCGCTTAAAAGGACTTATTAATGCTCTACTGTAGGCACACGCAAAAGGTTAATAAAAGGTTTATTTACAAGGGAAGGGGAAATGAGGAAATGTACAGCTCAGGAAGAAAAGTGGGAGACAAAGTTTTAAATGACTCCTACCCGATCCGTCGATTAGGAATCCCAAAATGGCACTCTGAGAGCTGGCTGCGAGCCAGGAGCCGTGAAGCCAGGAGGCGAGCGACAGCAAGCCCCCCAAGGCCCACGTGTTTGGTTTTTATACCCAACCTGGCTGCTTAACTCCACCCTCAGGTCCCAGCCACCTACCCTTTGGTGGTGATGGGATTTGTCTTTCCCAATGTCTTAATGACTTTAGTCTAGACTGGGAGTGAAGTCCACAAAGCCTGTATGGGATTAGCTCAGGACATCATTTCTCCCTAACAAAATCAATGAGACAAGACATTGTTACTGATGAAATAAATTCCTAAATGCTGACATGCCCTGAAAATTAAAATATGGTTCTTTGGGCAGGTGGAATATACTATGGTGAATAACATTAAGAACATGATGGATAAAATAAAAAATATTTCCAAAGGCCTACCCTATTTTATTTATTTATTTTTTAAAGATTTTTATTTTATTTATTTATACAAGCACTGGGTACAGTCAGAAGCGCGGGAGGGTGAGAGAATTCACCAGAGCCAGAGTGGGGAGCAGAGCAGGCAGAAGGACCTAAGTACACTGCTGAGGGGAGCAGCGGGCGGCAGGAGAGGTCTGCGCGCCATGTGGGACCCTCCTCCCTCCTCCAGCCAGGGATCGAACCAGCGCTGCAGAGGCTGCGAGCAGCTTCGCAACCCAGCGCTCAACCGCTGCGCCACGGGGGGAGGCCCAGGTCTACCCTATTTTAAATTTAAACATATGATTAACAAGATAATAGATTTTTCACTATGAAAGTAGCAGGAAATAACATAATAATCTGGAGAACATCTACAAGCACAACTAGGGCAGGGCAAAGTTCAGCAGGCCATATGATAACATGGCAACTGGAAAAGGCAAAGAGCAAACACTCAACCTAAAGTTACACTGGTATGATGTTAGCACCAGGGCATTCATAAGGGCCTTATATTTGGGATACCAGTATAACATAGCACAGTACAGTAAATCTCAAAACTGGAATACGAGAAACAGCTGTTAGGGCAGACTCAAGAGATGTTAATCAAGATGAGGGAGTTGCCAGGAAGGGCTACTGCCAATGGATGTCAGGTGTGCTCAGCTCATAGGTCAGATGATAGAAGTACACATCTGGACAGATAAGAAAGCCCCAAAGGCAAGAGAGTTTTTAAGGGTATGTAAATGCCCCCGGCTACCTGGAAACAAATGATAGAGAAGCAGAGTGTCAGGGAAAACAACTCAAGAAGCAAGAAAAGTGCTAGGCAACTCATTTTGGGTCCAGAGACTCAATCAACTAACCAAAGGGCTCATTACTGGAAGGAAGGATAGAGGAAGGAAGACAAGATATCAACCACCATGATTTCACACACACAAATTCACTACTTCTCTGTGAGTTAGAAGAAAGAATACTGCTATTCTTCACTTTTCCTCTCTGTAGAATCATGTGCTGGTTAAACTAGGTACATGGCATTAAAGTTTATATTTTTTTAAAGATTTATGTTATTTATGCATACCAGAACTGGGGTACAGGCCAGAGGTGTGGGGGGTGAGAGGATTCACCAGAGACAGAATAGGGAACAGAACAGGCAGAGAGACTGAAATACACTGCTGAGGGGAGTAGCGGGAGAGGCAGGCAAGGTCTGCTGTGCCATGTGGGTTGCTCCCTGGCAGGCCAGGGCTCGAACTTGTGCTGCAGTGGCTGCCAATTGCTTGACTTTAACCCCTGCGCCACCAGGGAGGTATGGCATTAAAGTTTAAAGCAAAAGTTCTAAAGTATGTTCATCTTTTTTTTTTTTTTTTTTAAAGATTTATTTATTTATTTATTTATACATACATGCACTGGGTACAGTCAGAAGCGCAGGAGGGTGAGAGAATTCACCAGAGCCAGAGCGGGGAGCAGAGCAGGCAGAAGGACCGAGGTACACTGCTGAGGGGAGCAGTGGGCGGCAGGAGAGGTGTGCGCGCCATGTGGGACCCTCCTCTGGTGGCCGGGGAGCAGCCGGGGATCGAACCAGCGCTGCAGAGGCTGCGGGCAGCCTCGCAACCCAGGGCCTCAACCGCTGCGCCACCGGGGAGGCCCTAAAGTATGTTCATCTTGGTTTACACTGGTACATGGAAATGTGTGCTAATACTGAGACCTACCCACTGAGTCTTGTTTCTTGTCTGTCCAACATTTTTAATATCCACCTCCTCACTACCTACCTACAGAAACAATCTTATCTGAGCCTGCTAGGGTCTCTAACATATCATTCAAATTTCTACTTCCCATAACACCAAGCTTCTCAAATGAGCTACTGTATTTTGTGGACTAATCATTCTAAGAATTTGCCAGCCATTAACATAGTTTTCTCCAAAATTATAATTTTCTTCTACATTGTTCTCTTATACTGATAATTCCCTTATCCTTGAACTAAATAAAAACCACCCAATATTGGTTGGTGTCCTTTCCTGACAGGCACTTGCTATCTGGCAGGGAAAAAAAAGTGATTCAAATATGACTCCTGCCACAAAGATCTTAGGAGCTGAGAAGTCACCAAAATAGTGTGGTTATACAAAATAATCATATAATCATAACAGTGTGATATATACTACAATATAGGCAAGTACAGAGTATTCTTTGAGGGCCTCCCCTGGTGGCGCAACGGTTGAGCGCTGGGTTGCGAGGCTGCCTGCAGCCTCTGCAGCGCCAGT